CGCCGAGCCCATGCATATTTCACAAAAGTTTCGGAAATGCAAATTCAAGATATTAATAAATTTCGATAATCATGTCTTTCGGACGATTGAAGTAAATTTTTAATTCATTTATTGAGCTAAACTCGCTAAATGAAATGTAGGTATTTAAACGTGTTTACAGTATTCTCACCGTTGGTGGCTCTATTCGATTTTAATAAAACATTGCATGGAGCTGTATGATCTGAGATACGAAACGATTCGAAGTCATTTTTAATACAATCTACGTCTAATACAAAAATGTATGAAATGTGAAATAAGAGCTACCTGTTAAAAAAATAATAACGTTAACAGAATCTCCTGTATCACAGTGTAAACGTTTTACAAATTGTCATTAAAGCGGGAGAGTCGTCGCCTGCGCATGCGTCGGATGGCCACAGCGTGTCATTGTTTACAAACAAGTGTCTATCCATGAACGTTTTTAGTGTGTGTTGTTATCGTCGATTAGGACTCAATTCCCGCGCGTGCGCAGGTGACGACCCTCCCACTTCTAAGGTAACGAAAGTCATCGTATGCCATAAGAATACAATGTGTATGAAAGTAAATATAGAAAATTTCTTAAAATATAGTTCCTGAAAATTAATGAAACCACGTGCACTCAGGCTGTATAAAGAAATTCTAAATCATGATATAAAATAAACACAAGTAACGGGTACAAATAAACGAACGTCCCAGTTTGCAAATATTACTGATCAGTTGGATTTATAACAGTAGTTGTAAGAATGGCTTTTAAATATTAGTAGTTGTTTTCGATTTATATTAATTATAAAATATTTTTTCTGATAATAATAGTAGGGCATCGCCCACCAAGATACAATTGTTGTTGTGGGTTTGGAGGATATCAGTGACAGTATTACGTAGAATAATTAATACGATAAACGGATAAACTTGGTTCCCGGGTTCGCTTTGTCGCCTCTTTACGACCCTCGACCGTGCACCGGCAATGATTATGAAGGTTCCTTATCTATAAGCCAACCCACGTGATATTGTGACTCACCATGACGCTTAAAATAAGTTAATGTGATTGGTTAGCACGTTAGATTGCCAAATAAGGAAAGCTGGACATTCGTGATTATACTAGACGTGGCGTGCTTGAAAGTGTCAAAATGGTCTAGCCATGCATAATACATTGAATGTGTTAATTAAAGGTGTTAAAATAAAGACAAAAGTAACATTGCATGGGAAAGTTAACGCATACTGGCATATGCGGGCGGCACAACAGAGTGGTGACTACTCCATCTATCATGGAAACGTGGAACTGTATTTCAGTTCGGATGACAAAATGAAATACGCGAAATGACCAATCCCGCAGGAAAAAAAAACAAAACATATTTTAGAGGAACTTCCGTCACATAATTCCATAAGCAAATATTAACACTAACTAGGTACACAATCGCATTCTCCTATATTCCAGCTTCCTGGAAACGTATATACTACATTGCCATAGTTAGCATAGTCACTTATGGAGAATATCCTAATCCCAATTTCTGCTGTCGTTACCTTATTTCCATCTAACTGGTACAATTTAAAAGGAGAGATGGTAAACTTTTGAACTGTATCTGTATAAAACATTTATGTTGAAAAAAAAATATATAAAAATATATTCTCTGTACATTAACACTCAGACTAATATTAAATTGTCTGAAATTCACAACTCTTAATTTCATCCTCATCAATATTAATAATATGCACCGTGCGTCGATCTTTCAAATTGTGGGGACCCACATTCACAACAAAAGACTGATTGTAGGTGTCAATTACAGAAAAACCCAATACCACACAA